AGTTTTAAAATGTTTTTTTCTATTTGTTCATATTTAATTTAGTTGATTATTTAATGTCATACATTTTGCAAAAAAGGTAAAACTAAAAAATATATTATACCTTTATTTTTACAGGAGAGACATTTTAGAACAAGTTCTTATTCACAATGGCGGCCTGACAAGTTAAGTAACCACTTAGGAAAGTAGGGCTAAAATAAATGCATTAGTAATACATCCATAAAATACAATTTAAATACAACAGACAACCCAAAAATTATTATGTAGAGAAGCAGCTGCAAGTGTCTGTGAACAAGGATCATATAATTGTTTTGAAGGATGAAATGGAAATTAGTCTATCCAATTCTAAATGTAAAAACGGCAGACAGAAATAAATAGCAGTGAAGAAATAACGAAGGTAAAAAAACAAAAACAAAGGAAGAATAAAACACACAAAAATATTATGAGATCACATAAATAAATACTTAAAAATATTAGGCATGGAACGGTTTATGAAAACCGTCCGAACCGTTCGGTTTGACTGTCTCGGTTCGGTTCGCTTGTGTTGCGTTCGGTTCATGCGCTGCTCCTTGTTCTCATAGGCGAAGCGTGTACACTCCAGAGCAGAAGGTGGCGCTACTGCGACCAAAGCCAACCACCAGTAGTAGACAAGAAGAAGAAGAAGCGAAGCAGCGTAGCCGGGTTTAGCAGAAAAAAATCAGTTGTTGTGGAGAATTGTGTGGGTATGGCGAGTGGGAAAGAACAGGAGTTGGAAGACGCGCCAGCAGCACTTTATAGGTCTGCTGTATGGGACCACTTTGCATTTAGAGTGACCTACGATGACGGCGGAAAGAAAGTTGTGGATAAAAGTGCAACAGTGTGCAAGCATTGTGCAACACGTGTTGTTTATGCTAACAGCAACATGACCAACATGTCAGGCTAACCCAGAAATCCCACATACTCTGTCAGTGCTCCGCTTCAGACTTCCTGCACAAAGCAAAGCCTACAGCCTCCGCTGTGGCTCCCGTCCGCTCCGCGAGATGATTAAATTCAAAGCAGCAAAACATGCGGAAATTATCCATGGTTTTCGCGGATCAGTAAAAATAATTAAAATTCATTAATTTATTTTTATTTTTTCATTAAATTCATTAATTTTATTTTTTCATAAATTTTTATAATTTTTATTAATTTTTTAATTTTTCGGTGTAACAATAAACATATACCGAACCGAAAACCGTGACCACGAAACTGTGAACCGAACCGTGGATTTTGTGAACCGTTCCACCCCTAAAAAATATAAGTAAATAAAAAATAAAGTTGAAGATTATAAAGGACAAAAAAATAAATAAGGTAAATATTACAAAGGCAAATAAAGAAGCTAATTAAGAGTTATATACATGTATGTCTCACTGTATAATTTAATTTCTACTTACATTTATTTGTTTATTGTATTTTTGGTGGCAATTAATTGTATGCTTATTTATTTATTGAGCATTTATTTCTGTATTTATTTTTAAATATGGCAGAGTTGGTCCTCCATACATTCCAGTTGCACCTTTGGCATTAAATTTCAAGGATTGGTTAGACTGATGGAAAATAAATAAATAAATCATTATTGGCATTAGCCGTAAAAAAACTGTATCTGTAGTGTCTTGGTAAATCTTGTAATTACCAAAATAAAATTAATTGAAGTTTGTTTTAATCTGATTGTGAAATTGTTTCAGACAACTTGCATCAGCGTAATATCTGTTCTAAATAAGATATAATATTTCTGTTAAAAAGGAAACTCATTTTTAAAGCTCGACATAAATTTGATTAATTTACTAAGCTACTTTTTTCTCAGTTACGGTAGTTATTCCAGCATCTCCTCCCTGCTGTGCTGATGGCGTGCCACCACCTCATGCAGGATTTTTTTTTTTTCTTGCTCTTAAATCTGCTGCGGCTCTCGTGGCACGGCCATCCAAAGCCATAATCCTGATGCCCAGGCTGCTCTGGTATAAATCCTATTTGGAGTTATATTATATATATAGCTGGTAACTCATCAGGAGGGCAAAAGATTAAAATTTTATTATTTGAAACCCCCCAGGAAATGCCTGTCCGCTGTTATGATGCGACTCAGGCTATGAAGGGATAGTGGTTTTAAACTGCAGACTTCAGGTGGGACATGTGTAAATTTTGTGCTGGAAAAGTTTATTTCTGAATATTTTTGATATGTGCAAAAAGGTGAATCTAGAAATAAAGATGTGATTACATGCTGGGTGAGATCATTTTATGATTTCTGTGGTGAAAAAGGCTCAGTCATTAGGCTGGAAACGAGGTCCCTTATGAGCCCACGGTGTGTGAGCACCTCAAAAAGATTCTTGGCTCAACAGGACAAAGGTGTACGTAAAAATGCATTCTTGGCTTTTAGTTCTGTTTGCAATTGTTCCTGTGTAACTTGAGGCTGTGGAGTATTGAGCAAGTAAAACTCTTTACATAAGGCTAAGTCGTAATTCATGCCAGACATTTTAAGAGCAAGCAGTGTAACTGGGCTGGTTCTATTAATTCTATATAGATATAATCAATCTTTGACAATATATCAATCTACAATGGATAGAAGTTCAACAAACTAGTCCATCCACCCATTAAAGAGGGAAATTAAGAAACACTTAGCAAAAAAGAAGAATGAGAATAATAAGTTGTGCTCGGCTCTCTTTAAGCGCCCTGTCACACCTTGATGATTTAGCCAGTTTATGCCCAACGTCCCAAAATCTCCTAAAAAGCTGTCATGTGCTAAACTTTCTCTGATTGTTTTTTATTTTATTTTATTTTTTTTGCTAGCCTAGCGTTTGCTAGCCTGTTGAAAGAAAGGATTTGGATGTTTTTCTGAATACTGCGCAGGAACAAATGGTTATCGCCACCATGCTTTCGGTCTTCCAGTTGATTTTTGGTTAGGAAGGTTGAAGTCAGCTACTTTCTCTATTAGCTATGTGTGTAAGATGAAGGAAGTAGAAATATGGGCAACTGGTTTAATTTTGACCTGTTCAGACAGGACTGTGACTCATCAGGCTGTTAACGAACGAGAGAGTGTGGCTTTTAGCAGACAAAAAAAGGCTGAATAGACTACCAAACATTTCTTCTTTTAAGCCTTGAACCTCTTAAATGAAACATGAAAACGCCGGTGAAGATTCTCAGCCATCCACGTCACAGTCACCCAAAAAAAAAACAAAAGAAAATTAAAAACGATCTACTGGACTTTGTTTTCAAGTTTGAAGATGTTTCGCTTTCCATCCGGGAAGCTTTCTCAGTTTGAATTAAAAAAGGAGGGAAACATGAACAGTTTGTTGAACTGGAATAAGAACAGGCATTTGTTTTGGAAATGGCTAAAAGTGGTTTTATCTGATATCGGTTTGATATTGTCCAAAAGACTAATGTATCTGATTTTATGGATCAGCATCTAAAATCTCCACTATAACTGTAGAAATACTCTGCTTCTGTTAAGTTTCTGTAAATCATTGCTTAATATTACATGTTATTTTCAGTCCTTTTGTTTTTGACTTTTGTTCCCTGTTTTTGTAATATTAATTGATTAAGATTTAACTTTCCACAGTATAAAATGAGTAATAAAAGCTTGTACAATTCAAACTAATATCATATCGGGTTGATATCTGTATCGGCCAATTCCCAAAGCTGCAATATTTATATAGTACTGGAAATGAAGCGGTTGCATCGGGACACCCCTACTAGGGGTGGAACGGTTCACAAAATCCACGGTTTGGTTCACGGTTTCGTGGTCACGGTTTTCGGTTCGGTATGTTTATTGTTACACCGAAAAAATAAAAAAATAAAAATTATAGAAATTAATGAAAAAATCCCCCAAAAAATTTATGAATTGTAATTGTTTTTAATGATCCGCGGAAACCCTGATCATTTCCGCAAGTTTTGCTGCTTTGAATTTAATCATCTTGCGCATGCCCTCTACGATCTTCCAACTCCTGTTCTTTCCCACTCGCCATACCCACACAATTCTCTACAACAACTGATTTTTTTTCTGCTACACCGGCTACGCTGCCTCGCTTCTTCTTGTTTACTACTGGTGGTTGGCTTTGGTCGCAGTACCGCCACCTTCTGCTCTGGAGTGTAAACGCTTCGCCTATGAGAAAAAGGAGCAGCGCATGAACCGAACGCAACACACGCGATCCGAGACAGTCGAACCGAACGGTTCGGACAGTTTTCATAAACAGTTCCATCCCTAACCCCTACTAAGCTAAGAGATTAATCTTTTATTGTAAAATCTTTAGAAATGAATAATTTTCTTGGAGTTATTTACATTTTTTTTTTTTCCAGTGAGACAACAGAATTAACACGTATCGCCAAAGTTTACAAAAAATGGACCCTGAATGAAAGAAATTAAATGTGTAATTTATTTTCTATGATTGCTTTTGTTTTGCTTTGTTCTTCTTTTTCCTTGCTTTTCTCTGCACACTTTACGTTGTAGGAAATGGCTAGAACTACTGTTGAAATGTCAGATTAAGGCCATATTGTCGAGCTTGTCTGCTGCGAGGGCTGCTCAATGCCGCTTGCGGCTTTAATTTAAACATTTTATGTTATTGATCAAGTTTTGACTGGCTTTTCAAACCTAAACCAACTTCGTCCTGGAATAACGCTGAGATTTAAGCAATATCTTTGCAAATGTCCACACCAGATGTTGATGAAAATCACGAATCTGTCACTCAAAGCTTGACTGCTGAGTGGTGGCAGCTTTTATATATGAATCACTGGTTTAGTCATTGGTGGTAAAGCATTAGAGGTGGTGTTTGGGAGGATCTCTGGCTGTTTGGGTGAAGTAGATGCGTTGCTGTGGAAGTGGCGGAAGGACTAAGCTTTGATGGGGGGATTAAAGGAGGAGGGGGTGGGGGGGGCCTCCACGATCTGTCAGGGCTTAGTACCACAATTATCCCAGCGGCTGCAGCTGCAGCTCTGACAGCAGCGGCAGTGGTGATGGTGGCAGTAGAAGCGGTATTTTCATTAGCGTAATGCCCAGAGACGTTCCAGAATTATGTAAGGGTGACGTGCCGTCATCCCTCCTCCTAGCAACAACGTGGCTGTTTGTTTTCCTTTCTATCCTTTTGTGCCTGGAGAAGCCAAAAGGACATCCATCAGAGCGGTGCTCGGCAGCGGGTCTCGTAGTAGCCACGGCGCGGGGATGTCACCGACCTGTGTGCTGGATGCAAGGCTTGTTGCCATGGAGAAGCAGATGCTCTGAGGAGCGGAGAAGGAGCATCCGATGACTCACAAAGGGATGAGGAGAGGTTTTGGAAATGAAAGCGCGGCAGCAGCGATGGTCTGAGGGATGCTTTTAGAGGAGACATAAAAGATGAAGTTTAAGAAGTTCATCACGATCATGCAAGCGGCAATGGGGGTTGTTCCTTTGAACAAACGGGAGCTTCTGCCCCCTGGCAGGAAACTGTGGAGACCACCAGGGTGAGTTGGATTTCTAATAACAGGCACAGACCTGCGTGCATGCATGAGAGTAATGCGCTGTTTTTAGCGCTTGTTCATTCGTGGCATTTCCAGCTTTACATCCTAATATTGCAAACAGAGAAAATATTTAATGTTTAGTTTATAAATCAGGAAAGGAACGGATAGACTTTGGAAAAACATGCTGGTATCTGTTTGATTTTTAATTTAAGTAGTAAATTCTCCAAAAAATTTATTTTTTCAGACCACAGATGTGAAAGGTTTTTTTTTTGTCTCTTCTCTCATCAAAAATATCAGCAGCAATAATCCAAGGACAAGAAGAAACTAGGGATGCACGATATAATCGGCCCCCCATCGGTATCGGCCTTAAAACTGAATATCGGACATCGGCCACCCCACCGATATTTAACCCGATATTTGATCAGCTTCTGAGTTTCTAAAGTCTTAAAAAAAAAAAAAATACTACTACTTCTTCTTCTTCCTCACAACCTTCTTTTTTACAGACTTAAAAACTTCTAAAGACGAGGGAAAAAATATTGATACATTAAAATATCACAATATCTTCATATACTGATATATTGCCATTTAAAAACACCATATCCATCTCTTTTACTAATGAAATATTGCTATATGTCATCGTTATGCTACGAAATCCCCCGAAAATTCACAAAATTTTGCCTTATTTCTATATGTTGATATATCGATCTATTTTACTAACAAAATCTCACAAGAATTAGCTAAATATCGCGAGAGTTTGTAACAGAACGATGAAATTTCACGAGATTTTGCATTTTTAAAAATCAATTTGATATCAGCATATGAAAATATATTTGAATATATTATTTTCAAATTGTCAGAAATGGATAACAAAACTGCTATTTTCAATGACTACTTATTTTTGTCCAGCTTTAACATCAGTATCGATATCGGTTATCGGCTACATGAGTTTTAAAATATCGGCATATCGGATATCGGCCAAAATCCCAATATATATAAAAATAAATAATAATAAAGCTATATCAGAAATATTAGAGCAATATTTGAAAAGAAAGCTGCTTAATGTTTATTTGACTCAAAAACACCTTGAAAATACCTTGGATGTTACTTGGCGTATAATCAGAAATGTATACACATATTCCAGCATTTAAGGCCAGATTTGTACCTCTGTTTTATAATTCCAACTTTAATTGAAAAAATAAAGTTAATGTTGTTCTTTTTTTTTGTGCAAGATCTAGTTTCTCATGTGTACTTTACAAAAAAGACCAGATTCTTTTGTTCCAGTGTTAAGTTTGTAACCTAAGGCGCAGCTGTAAGAGGAGATGTTGATTTTTCTGCACTTTTAGACACTTTTCCTTTACCTCAGTAGAAAATAAATGTGATCATAAAGTAACAAGAGAGGAAGGGCTTGATGAGTCAGGAAAAGTTCAGTGTTGCGTTCAGAGTCGAGCTACACCAACTTCCAAGGCTGCAAAGTGAGCTATAAGCTGAGCGTTAGTTCTTTGCTCTGTTCTGCCTCTCATATGCTCTGCTGTGTTTGGAGGAGGATGAGCAGAACAAGATTGGAAATGTTGTTGCATTAGGAAGGAGGATTGCTTTAAATGTTGCATCTGTCGGGTCGTGGGAGGGTAGTTCAGTGCATCTGATGCTTGGAAAGGATTTTAACATTTCCAGAAAACGGCTCTTGTTGTGGCTTTCTCTTCCAGGCCATTTCTTTCTGTCCCTCTAGTCTCAAAGGGTTCACACTTGGATCATTTTTTGGTCCAATATACCAACGCTTGCAGCTTTATTTGGGTCAGGAAACGGAGACAAAATGTCACGACAACTGTGACCTTTCGCTGCCTGTCATTTTGTTTAGCCACTTTGTTTTTCCTTTGAGAATTTAGGAGAGAAAACGTTTCCAGTGTTTTGTCTAAAATGTCTGAATATATTAAGCCTGTGCGTTCAGGTCTCTGTAAGTTTAACCTTCATGTTAGCTGGGAATAGATAAAAAAAAAGAAAAAGAAAACTACAGTTTAGAAGAGAATTTATTTTGACAATGATTGACATGAAGACATTGGAGATTTATAACAAAATATCGATGCCAAATTTTTTGAGTTTTGAAGATTATAGGAGGATCCCTATTTCTGTGGGCAACCTTAAAACCTGTGATGTTTTACTTTAACCCGCAACTTGATGTCAAAATGTTAATCCGTTCTAGTGCTGGATCAGCTTGTTTTTTTGTTGATCTACAAAGGATCAAGCAAGAACTTTAAAACCACTAAGGATATACTTCCAAACAAGTAAAAAACAATCCACCGCACTTTGTTTCCAAGTTTAAAGATTGAAGATTGAATTGATTGAAGTTTGAGTTAAGAGTAGTAAGTAACCAGTGGGGAAGCCCCGAGGCGCAACTGCTTTTTTTAGGGGACATAACTTCCTCATTTAACAAGATGTTTCGCTTCCCATCCAGGAAGCTTTTTGCAATTCAAAATGTCAAAAATAGCGTTCAGTTCAAGGCTTTATACAGTAGCCCAACAAAGTCTTGTTTTGGTTTAGAAAACATGCAAATTGAAAATGACAAACGGGTCCACCCCTTTGGAATGGGGGTCGTTTGGTTTCTTTGTTAGCCTGCAATACCTATGTCTCTGAAAGGGACATAGACGGGATTGTTTTTTTACTTTTTTGGAATGACTATGACCTAGTCCTTTGCATGTTTGTGTTCAGAATGGAAGGCCAGACTTCTTTGTAAACAGTGACTCTCTCCAATTAATTGGGTGATTAATTGGCATTATCTGTGGCATTATCAGGGAAGAAAGGTATACTCCTCTAATAGGCTCTGGGTCTGTTCTGGTATCCCAGGAAAACTCCTTTTTTATGCCAGATTGGAGGGAACCAAAAGGCAGCCTGGTCAGTTTTGCAAACCTCTACAGCTGACTCCATCTGTAGGTCACTTCATTGAGACTTGGTGTCGCATTGGTACGCACTTCCTCTTGGAGTTATGTTCCCTGGTTTCTGCCAATGTGCATCTTCTTTTCTTTAATGGAATGTACATGTTGTTGTGTGGTATTTGCCAAACGGAAAAGGCTGTGGAACAACTTTAGTTTTATTTCCTGTTAATCAGTGAGGAAATAATTATTTTAGGTTGTTGGATAGACTTTGAAAAATGGCTAAAAGATGAATGTATTACGTCTTTAGAATAATCTTCTTTCAAAGATGTTAATTTTAAATGAATTTTTTCTATGTTTAAATTCTAGACTCATGGAGCATAGAGTTATATCTAATGCTGCGTTCACACCGGGCGCAGCAGGCGCGGCAGAAGCAGCGAGTTTACATGCAAAGTCAATAGTTGATGCGTGTCAAGGCGCAGCAAAAGGTCCCGCAGCGCATTTTGAGCAGCAGGCGCAGCGCGGGAGCGTTTAAGCATCTGACGCGCCGCAAACGCACTGCTGCTCGAGATAGAAAAATTGAAATTTTGCTGCTCAACGCACCGCGTCAACCAATCAGAGAATCTGATCTGGGAGCTGGCAGGGAGAGAGACACATCGCTGATGACACAGAGCGCTGTGATCACTCCTCTGAAACAGTTTATTGACGCATAAATTAACTTAAAATGCTGAAATCTGCCGGCAGAATATGTTCGCTTTTATTATCCTTGGTGCCTTCAGTTTAGATTATTTAGATGAAAAACAACTACCAGCTGCCGCGGTGACCGCGAGGAGGCAACCGCGCCAGACGCTGCTGCTGAATGGGATCCTACTGACAGCGCACCGCTGGTATGTGGGGGTCTGAGCGGCTCCGACAGAGAAATAATATTGGAAGGCAGGATGATAATCTGAATGAACTGACTGCACTGATGAAGTTTTCAGCTGGATTTTCTCACTTTAAAACATATTAAAACTACTTTATTCCCACTGATCACAGCAAATATAGCTGCAAGGCAAAGAAAGGATAGAGTAGCTCCGCCCAACACGCGCCAGACACACTTTTGCACCGCGCAGCCAGAGCAGCAAAGCTGCTTCAGCCGCGCGTCAGAACTAACTGGTACAAGCAGCAAAAATGAAGCAGCAGACGCGATTTTGCTGCTCTTACTGCATCCGGTGTGAACGCAGCATAAGGCTTGAGGCTAGCCCCCTTACTGAGGAAGCTTGTTTTGTTTGCCGTGATCTGTGACCTCTTTCCTTTGTTCTTGATCCATATTTAATGACAAAAGGTAAGAGTTGGACTCTGCCCAGGTTTCTGTCCACCAATACAGTCCAGATTATCGGTAGATCGTTTCTCTAGAAAAGTCCCAGAGAAATCTCTTGTTCTCCAGCTTCATTTGACTATCACTTGTGAAGGAGAAGCCAAGAGACTTCACCTCCTCCAGAGATTGATCCCTAATATGAAGGGGGGGCGTATTCACCTCTTCCAGGTTAGAACCATTGCCTCCAACTTTGAGGAGCTGAAACTTTTCTCTATTTTTTCAAACTAGAACCAGTAGAGAAAAGCAAAAACGAGACCCCGAGGTTCCTAAACCAGATGCCCTAATCCCAACGCTTACGTTTCTATATCCTTTACATGAATACAACAAAACAAAACGATAGGTGTTAAAGGTCAGACCTGACTAAATCCAACCAATACTGGTACCAATTTAATAAATTGTATTTCTTACATTTAATATATTAAATGTATTTAATAATACTAATAATAACTGAACTTTTGATTTAACATTGGAGAAATTTACCTCTGCATTTAACCTATCCTCTTGGGAAGCACATGGTTGCTGTCGTGGGGCGCCCAGGATGAGATGTCGGATTAAGGGTCTTGGTCAGAGACCCAGAGTGCAGTCTGTAGGAGTGGGTTTTAAACTCAGAACCTCAGGATTCCAAGCTCTATGCCCTAAGCATTAGGCCACCACTCCCCCAGGTATACGAAAAACAGATAATCCTCAAACACTTTGTACTTCCATAGCATATGGAATAAAATCCGGTAAGGGACTCTGCTAAAGCCTTCTCCAGATCCACAAAGCCCATATGGAACTGACGG